CGGCAGAAACTCATTAGGATTGGCTACATTAGGGGTGTGTGGCCTAACATGCAAAGAAGTTCCTGCTACAAAAAAAGCCCTGGGTTTTGACCACAAACAAGGTAAACAGAATAAGAAGCAAAAGGTGGGTGTAGTAGCATGGGGTGTGGCCTAATATGCTAATGAGCTGTGATGTCGGGGGTGTGGCTTAATATGCTCATGAGTTTCTGCTGTTGGGTGTGGCCTATTATGCTAATGAGTTTCTGCTGGGCTTTTTCTACCAAAAAAGCCCTGGTTCTCTGAATTCTGAGCTTTCTTTCTTTTTTTAAAAAAAGTAAGAATAATTTAGCTCTCGCGCAAGTATCTAGCTCTTCTAGCCCTTTTATAAATACAATATTGAATGACCACCATTTTTAAAAAAGTGGTGGGAAGAGAAAGTGGCTGTCGCAGGGACAGCATCAAGGAAAATGGCTACCATGTAGATGGGAAAATCTGAACTTTCCCACCCACATGGCAAGCATCCAGGTTTTACTGAGAGTGTTCAACGCAGGTTTGAGAAAGACTGGAAAAAAGCTGGGGGAAACCCTGGGAGGTGCAGGACTGTACCATGATACTGTAGGGAACCAGAAGAAAAAAAATCCCTGGTTCCCAACAGCATGGAACTGGGGGCAGATAACCTTTATGGAAATGGGCACAGCAATTAAAGTATTATATACTACTGGAGCTGCGGTGGCTCAAGTGGTTAAGATGCTGAACTGCAGGCTGTGGAAGGTCAGTAGTTCAGCAGTTCGGGACCCGAGTGTGCCACATGACAGAGTGAGCTCCCGTCTCTAGTTCCAGCTCCTGCCAACCTAGCAGTTCAAAAGCAAGAAATTGCAAGTAGATAAATAGGTACCACTTCGGTGGGAAGGGAACAGAGTTCCGTGCGCCTTGGTGTTTAGTCATGCCGGCCACATGACCACGGAAACGTCTTCAGACTGCATTGCCTCTTCAGCTTTGAAATGGAGATGAGCACCGCAACCCTAGAGTCGGATTCGACTGGCTTTCGAGCAAGGGAACCTTTACCTTTATAGTACTGGAACCAGGAGAGGAATACAAGACGACATCTGATTCCCAAGGGCTGCCAGTCTCCAGGTGGGGCCTGAAGATCTGTCAGAATTACAAATGAATCTCCAGACTATAATGATCAGTTCCCCTGGAGAGAATGCCTGCTTTGGAGTGTGAACTCTATGGCATCATAACCTGCTAAGGCCTCCTCCCCTCCCAAACCCCGCTTATCCCAGGCTCCACCCCCAAATATCCAGGAATTTCCCAACCTGGATTTCATAACCTTTCCACCCACTGCCCCCTTCTAAAACCACATGCATAGAGAAATGCCATCTGTCTTCTGCTTCTACCTCCCCTGATAGGTATGGGTCGGTGGACTCGCCGGGGGTGGGGGGAGCAAAGTTCCATGCAGAAAGTTCCATGCAGAATTGCAGAGTTTTCTGTGCTGGGGAGCATTCCAACCTTCCAGGTCTTGGGTAATGAGAGGGTGAACACTCTGCCTACTTCTGGAGTTGAATCCTCTAGGAAATGTTGGCTTGCCAACCTCCAGGTGGGGCCTGGGGATCCCCTGGAATTACAACTGATCTCCAGATCACACAGACTGGTTCCACTGGAGAAAACTGCTGCTTTGCAGGGTGTCCTCTGTGATGTCATACTCTGAAGAGGTCTATTCCGTCTTCAAACCCCACCGTCCTTAGTTTCGACCCCCAAATCTCCAGGAATCTCACAACCTGGAGTTGGCAACCCTTTGTTACACACCCCGTCAGAACTTCTGCACCCTGCCCACATGAGGTGCTAACTCAAGTCTGAGAACTTACTCTGCTGATTGAGAGAACAGACAGCACCAGAAGGGTAGGTAAGACTCAGGAGTATAGGCCTGATCATAGGCTGTAGCCAGGTTCATGGGCCTCGCTCCTTCTACCTGGGCATAACACAACTATCCATTGCTAGCAGCACCCAAACAAAATTTGGCCACCCACGAAAAAGACATATTCCCTCCAACTTTCCCTCCCATAATTCTAGTGATAGATCAAGATGGGTAGCTGTGTTAGCCTGTCCGTAGCAGTAGAAAAGACCAAGAGTCCAGTAGCATCTTAAAGACTAACAAAATTTGTGGCTGGCTATGAGCTTCCGTGAGTCACTGCTCACTTCTTTCAGGTATCTGAAGATATCATGAAAGTTCATACCCTGCCACAAATGTTGTTAGTCTTTAAGGTGCTACTGGACTCTTGCTCTTTTGTAAGTCTGGCACAATTCCCATCAATGTCTACAGTTTTCAACCATCTATCCCCCCCCCCCATACCTGGGATTGCTTGGTAGTCCAGAATATCCGCGTAAATCAAGAACTCTTGATTTATTAAAAAATCATTCCAGCCAATCACCTCCCAAAGCTTGTCTTTTGACCACCTTCCAACCCACCCACCCCCTTACACCTCTGCTTCAGTCAATTTTTTTTTTAAAAGGCTGCAATATTGTTAGAACCTGGTAGAGAAGCTGGCGGTACTTACATGGCAGAATGTAGGGAGGCATGAGGAGGAGACACACAGGGAAGCCATGCGGGAAGGAGGAAAAAAAAGAAAGAAAAAAAACAGAAGAAGAAAAGAAAAGGGAAAAAAGAAATGAGTTAATAAATAAGCTCTGCTTTTTTTCAAACGGAGGCAGTTGCGTTATCAAGTGTCGAGTCCGTAAGGGGGAAAGGGAGATGCAGAGAGAGAGAGAGACGACATTCATTTCCTGGGAATGGTGATGGGATCTGATGGAGGTCCAAGGAGCAAAAGGATAAGTTATGTCCATTCCTTAGATGCGTCTTCGATGGAGATGGGAGGGAGATTGGAGAGTTGTCTGAGTGGCTAAAAATCCTTCCTCGCCGGCATTCCGTTAGCTTATCTTTTCTTTTTTGTCAGCCTGTTCAAACACCTGGATTTGGGACATGCTCCCTCCCTACAATCATGTCTCTCCATCTGCCAGAGGCTGCAAATTATTACCTTTAAATCTTTCAGGAGGGAGGGAGAGGGGCTTCAAGGGTCTTTTTGAGAGTGGAGCTGCGACTGGCAACAGCCCCTCTCCTTCCGTCCTGTAAGACTTAAAGGGCCCTCCAGCTGATCGGCGGGCCACGTGCTCCCCACCGATCAGCTGAAGACCTTTAAATCCCACAGGAGGGGAGGGAGAGGGGTGGCTGTGAGTGGCGGGGCTTGGGGTAGGGCTTGGGGTGGGGCTTTCCCCAAAAGCGAGGGAACCCCCGCCCCGACCTGGGGGCTGGCAACCCTATTCCCAAGGTGCATCATTTTGCAGACATTTTTCAGGGACCGTTTTTTTTTACCCCTGGACAAACACTAAGGAGGTAGTAGCCACTGTCTCATTGGAAGTGCCCCACTGAGCACCGCAGCAGAAAAAAGAACATTCACACGGCACATCAGCAGTACAGAGTTAACACGGAGTTTAATTCCGTGCAGGAGAAGCTGCTGCGCTTCTCGTGCCTCCGAATGACGTGCTTGCATGCACTGATACATGCAGGCTGGTACATGCTGGTTGAAAGGGCAGCTCATTCTACATGAAGCCAGATCGCATGGTTGTGGCCCACCCTTCTCTGCTGACCTTCACCCTAGCCACCGTGAGTGCCCCGAGAAAGAAATGGGGTGGAGGAAGGGAGAGAAGAGCTCTAAACGGCCAAACGAGTCTAATTCTATAGACTCGTCTACTCTGCAAACGTGTATTTGTTTTATATTAGTCAATACAGAATGGCTTCTCCCCAAAGAATCCTGGGAATAGTCGTTGAGGGAGGTCGCTAAGAAGAATTAATTAGAAATCTTTGGCCTCACTCATAAAACTACAACTCCCAGAGTTCTCTTGTGAAATATTCTCTAAATACAATCCCTGGAAAATGAGAACTCAGGATAGGGTTGCCAGGTCCTTACTGACTGCCGGCGGGGGGCTCCTGCCTGCTCATTGGGATCTTTTGCCCTCAAAACCATAGAGTCTGCCCAAAAACTAGAGTGGCACCCCCCAACGTCAGCAATGCAATGATGTCACTTCTGGGTAACGGAATGGTGGTGTTTGGTGGTGGGGCTTCCCCGAAAATCAGGGGAACCCCCGGGGGGACCGGGGGTTTGGCAACCCTAACTCAGGTCCAAAATAGATGAGATGGTGTCCTTATGGGTAAGGTTGCCAAGTCTTTGGTATTGAACCAGACAGTCCCACATTGACCTGGGCAGTCTAGTATTTTCACTGACTGGCTGGGGGGAAATGAAAAAACCACAAAACTGGACATTTAAATGTCTGGTATTCCCCCCCCCTCCCCAGTTTTGCCCTGAACAGTTAATGAAAAGCTTGAACTGCGCAGGTCAACGAGTAAGCTTACCAAGCCAAAACAGGATGAGGCATGCTCTCTGGGCTTGAAGGAGGAGGCGCCAAGCCCAAGGAAGAAGCGAGCAGTCTCCACTTTGGGTCCTATCAGGATCAGGCTCTTGTGGCACTTTAAGATCCCTTTAAAATGGTGGCAGCCCCCTCACGGCAGCCACAAGGATACCATCACCTCTAGCTGGGCCCTCAGACTGGGTTGTAGACATTACTGATTGAAAGAAAGTCCCAGCATCCATGGATTGGGGAATGATTTTCAACACCACCATCAAACTAGAACCCTCCAAGATGCTAAAAATGGCACATAGATGACATAGACATGCTCTTAGTTGCTTAGAAACCAGTCTAACTCTACTTCCTGATAGGAGGAGATCTGGAACTGGATGCTGTAGCTCTGAACCAAGGGTTGACCGATCAAACGTGACAAGGTGGAGAGCAAGTGGACCAGCCGGAAGCTGTGCTCTCCTTGGTTGCCTTGCCGGAAACGGGGCCGTCCTCCATGCAAATGGGACAGGGAAACAGGCAATGCGTAACAGAGGGGTGATGGCGGTGGTGGTGGTGGGGCTGCAATTCAGGGAGGCAGAGTAGATGTGACATACAGCAAGCACAATACTGACCTTGGAACAAGGTTGAGCTTGTGGGCTCACTTATTTCTAAACCAGGGGAGGAAACAATGGAAGAGAAAGAAAAAGTGAAGATAAAAATAAAAATACTGTTTCATAAAAATCACCACTCCATGAACACAGTGCTGTGCAAAAGAAAATATAAGAAAATGGGATGGAGAAGGTGGGCCTTGAAGTGGATGGACGAACCGGAAAACAGCAGACGCTTTCCAGAAGTGAAACGAAGCGAAGCGTGGAAGGAAGATGCAAATGATGACTCTGTCGTGGATGCATGAGACCAGCCTTGCAAAAGAGCCCTTCTTCACAGAGGAGCTGGGTCATGATCTGTCCTGGTGGTTGGCCTAACGTTCATCTCACCCAAGACCCATTTGAAGAACACCATGGAGCCCCATTTGATAGCTAACACGTTTATCTTTATTGAAGGCGTGATCCAGGGCCAAGCTAGTCATGAGGCAGAAAAGAAGTAGTGGGTGTTGGAAGGGTGTGTTTAACCTTTGAAAGGTACGTTTAACCTTTCTAGCAGCTGCTGTCTGCCCCCTGCAATTTCTTCTCACTCTCCCCCCACTGCTTCCCTCCCCCGGCTTGCATCTTGTTCTTGTTAGCCATTCAGTCGTGTTCGACTCTTGGCGATTCTATGGGCCAGCTCTCTCCAAGTTTTCCGATCTTGTACTCTTTCTTTGAGTTGTTCCATGCTCAGGCTAGTGTCAACTTTTATCTTGCATCTTAGGAAACAGTGATTAGGGAAGGTGGATCTCAGGAATGGGAAGTAAGGGTGAGGCACGCCATCCCCGACTGCCAATTCTCTGCAAATTATGATCTCCCCCACTATACTTTGCACCAGTTTAACTGCACCTGGTGGCCAAATGACATGTTTGGATTTTTAAAGAGTTGGGAATGGCTGACCTGGACCTATCTTGGGTCCCCCACAGCCACACAGCAGCTGCAGGGAATGGCTTTCAAAAATAACAGAGAACCCAAACAGACTTGGAACACCACCACAGGAAGAGGAAACACTCCTGCCTCCCCCCCCCCAGGGCCCTTTTCCTGTGCTGAAACAGCACATGTGTGTGTGTATGTGTGTGTGTGTGTGTGTGAATTATTTCCCAGTTTTTGCTGCTCCGTGAGAAGTATTATGTGCCTGAGGGCTCCCATTTTTTAAAAAAACCCCACAAACACTGTGACATCAGAGGGGAGACGTATTAATGGCAAAAAAATTCAAGTGGATGAGAGGCGTTCTTCCCACCCCACCTCTACTCATAAGAAAACAAGAACATTGTCGGATCACACTGATGGTACATCTAGTCCAGGGGTGGCCAAACTTGCTTAATATAAGAGCCACACAGAATAAACTTCAGATGTCTGAGAGCCACAAGACTTGAACACATGTTTTTAATTGAAAAATATGCACATTTGCATATTGAAATAAAGAAACAAATGCCTTCTCCGAGCCAAGCCAGTCTGCCAGTGTGGTGGAGCTTGGAGAACGCATTTAACTTTAGATGTGGAGGGAGGGAGGGAGGGAGGGAGGGAAGAAAGGAAGGTGGAAAGAAAGTGGAAAGAAAGCAAGTAGATGGGGGAGGGAGGAAGGGAGCGGTGGAAAGAAAAAAAAATAAATGCCTTCTCCAAGCCAGCCGGCAGGGAGGGGGCTTTGAGAACACATTTAAAGTTAAAGTGTCTTTCTTTCTCTGCTTCCCTCCACCTCAAGCCTACCCAGAGAGGGGAACACTGACTGGGGAAGGGAAGACCGATCAGGGAGGCATGCCTCCCCTTCGCTTCCCCAGCCACCGTGCCGGGAGCCACACAATATCTGTGAAAGAGCCACATGTGGCTCCCGAGCCACAGTTTGGCCACCCCGGATCTAGTCCAATATTCTGTTTTCCACAGTTGCCAAAAACATGGAAAGCCTAAAAGAAGGGCATGGGGGACCAAAGGATCCCCCTTTTGTTGTCTCACAGCAACCGGTATTCAAAGGTATTCTGTCTCTCAACATGGGGGTTCCATGTAGCCGTCATGACAACCACCGATGGGCTACTCTTCCACAAAACTGCCAGTCCCCATTTAAAGCCATAAATGCTAGTGGCCATCACCACACTTTTGTGGCAAAAAGACCCACAAGCTGTCTGAAGAAGTAATTTATTTCTGTCCTGAACCAAATACCTATTGGGCACCCCCAAGGTCTAGTTAAGAAAGAGAGAGAGAAAGATCCTATCCACTTTCTCCACCTAAGCCTTTCTTATGTCCCCCCTTTAATAATTTCCCCCCTAACTTGAAAAGCATCAAACTCTTTCACCCTTAATCCTAGGGAGAATATCGTTATCCTGTTGATGGTGCCCTTTTCAGTTGCTACAATTCCCCTTCCGTAATGGAGATGAGCAGAACTTGGGGGGACTGACTCAGATGGTGTCCCCTTTCTCAAGAATTTAAGACAGGAAACAGTTTTTACCAGGGCTATTTTTGGGCAGGAACGCACAGGAACGGAGTTCCGGCTGGCTCCCGAGTTGGCCACGCCCAGCAGGAACTCATTAGCATAATAGGCCACACCCAACAGCAGGAACTCATTAGGATTGGCTACATTAGGGGTGTGTGGCCTAACATGCAAAGGAGTTCCTGCTACAAAAAAAGCTCTGGGTTTTGACAACAAACAAGATAAACAGAATAAGAATCAAAAGGTGGGTGTGGCTGGATAACCACACTTCTGGTAACACGGAGGTGCAGCCTAATATGCTAATGAGCGGTGCTGTCAGGGTGTGGCCTAATATGCTAATGTGTTTCTGCTGTTGGGTGTGGCCTATTATGCTAATGCGTTCCTGCTAGGCTTTTTCTACAAAAAATGCCCTGGTTTTTACACAGATGGATCTATGGACATTGCTTTACATGAACTGTCCGGAGGGAGACAAGCCTGAGTTTCTTTATTTGCATCATTTACAGTCCACCTTCCTTGCTAGGACTCAAGGCTAGGACTCACTTGGCATTTCTATTGCATATTTCAAGTGGTCACAGCTCTGAAGAATCAGCCATCTTGCTCATTCTTGGGGTGGCCAATTCCAACTTGGAAAATGCCTGGAGATTTCCAGGCACTGCCTAAGGATGACAGAGTTCGTGGAGGGGGAGCGAGCTCGGGGCTGGGTGTGTAGAGATCGCCGAAGGAAGATGCCATTCCCTCCAAGGGATTTTGGTAGCCTGGAGATCAGCTGTAATCCTGGAAGAAATACAGGTCCCAACCAATGTTCCCTCTAAGCTGAGTTAGTGTGAGCTAGCTCACAGTTTTTTAGCCTCCAGCTCGCACGGTTTTGTCTTAGCTCAGGAAGGGATGGCTCCAGAGCAACCTATTTTATGCAGTAGCCAAGTCACTCACTCACAACCTTAATGCCAGTAGTTTACTAAGTAGGATTTTGCTCACAAGACTACACAGCTTAGAGGGAACATTGGTCCCAACCAATGTTCCCTCTAAGCTGTGAGCAAAAATTCTACTTTGTGAGCTACTGGCATTAAAGTTGAGAGTGAGCGATTTGGCTACTGCATAAATTAGTTTGCTCCGGAGCCATCCGTCCTGAGCTGAGACAAAAAACCTGTGAGCCAGAAGCTAAAAACTGTGAGCTAGCTCACACCAACTCAGCTTGGAGGGAACACTGGCCCCAACAGAAGAATGGTAACCCTCTCTTCTGATAACACATGAGAGAGGAAGATCAGTAAGAGTAGGCAAAGTGACCTTGAGGAAAGTTTGTCTGCCATTTTAATTGGGGGAAAGTTTGTCTGCCATTTTAATTGGGGAATCCATGATAGGCTTCTCAGGAACTGAACTTGCAATATGAATTTATGGTGGTATCTGTCCTTGGGAAACTTCCAGGCCCCGTTTTGTTATTGGTAACCAATTCTCCCTCTAAGCTGTGGAGTCTAGTGAGCAAAAAAATCTACTTTGTGAGCTACTGGCATTAAAGTTGTTGGTAACTCTTCAAAGTATTATAAGGAAGGACAGTATTATGTTTCCTATATTCAACTAAGAGACCAGTGCCCTGCCAAAGACCACCCAGTAAGTTCAGGACAGAGACAACCTTTGAATCGGGGGCCTACCAGACTCAGAGCCTACTTTTACCTCTCTGTCCATTATGATTAGACTTGTCTTTTACGCTTCAAAGATGGCATTTTATTGCTACCAAAGGAATGCATTATCCACAACGGTATAACCACAAGTGCTCTGTCAATAAAGATTAATGAAGGAACTGGGATTCTGTTCTCTTGTTTTGGGCAAACCTCCAGGTCACCTGTATTGGAATGACACCTGGGCGACCTTGTCAAATCTCTTTCGCATTGATTTTTAGCATGACATGGCCCCACATTCAATGCACAGAGTCTGCGGTTGCCCCTAACAACACCGGGGCCTAGAACTCTGGCTCTCCACGGGAGACCTCTTATGAAATTAGTTTCCCCGTTAGATTAAGGGCACTATGCAGAATCAAAGTGAAGTCCCGTGGAGCTGGCGATGCAGCCAGACAAAAGGTGGGAGGGCAAAGAGAGCGAAGAAAGTGGCTGGCTATCTCGGGGTTGCGTTAATGCAGGAGGCTACAAAGTGGGTCCCTGCTGCATTCTTTGTTAATTCTCTGACTATGCTTTTGTGAGCAGAGCGAACCGAATTCCTGCCCCTGAGCTGGGCTCCTTCAAGAGTCCCCACAGGTCACAAGATTTAATCATATGGCAAAGGGACCATCCTCAGGATCTCAGTCGCGGGGAGGTTTGTAACAAACAAGCCGTGGCCAGCCACACACGAGGAGTACAACCACAGTGCTTTTCACACTGTGGAGGATTCTGGGTTAGGAATCTGCACAAAAAGTTCTCAGTGAGAGCAAACAAAGGAGTAATAGTGGTGGGGAGCTTTTTTGTATCAGGTTTTTGCTTTCATTCATCCAGGTTTGGTTCGACTAGGAAGCCCGGTCCATCATCCATAGGGCAGCTGTAGAACCATGGGACCCACCTAGGATTGCTAAGCTCCTCCTGGCAACTGGCAGGGGATGGGGTGTGAATGCTAGTGGCCA